TTTTCCAAGGCGACACTTTGTGGTATCGATACCAAGTAATCTGCTTCGATACGATACTGAGTATCGATATTTTTTTGGGTATCGGGAAACACTACTTGACCACGAGTCAACCTTGGCTTGACCACGGGTCCACCTTGGCTTGACCATGGGTCAACCTTGGCTTGACCATGGGTCAATCTTGGCTTGATCGTGGATCAGCCTTGGCTTGACCATGGGTCGCCCTCGGCTTGACCATGGGTCGACCTTGGCTTAACCATGGATCAACCTTGGTTTGACCACGGGTCAAATTTGGGCTGACTATGGGTCAACCTTGGGTTGACTGTGGGTCAACCTTGGCTTGATCGCGGGACCTGTTGATTAAATCTTGATTTAACCTTGACGAAACCTTGGTTAAACCCTGATTAAGCCGCGATTAAACTCATTAAACCTCGATTAAATGCTTTTTAGGCTATAATTTCAAAACAAATGATTTGATCGCCGCTACCTTCGAACTCGACTGATATAACATCCAAAAGAATATTTTAAGCCATAATTGAAAAGATTTCGACGATTATTTTTCCAACTCAAATATCGGGCAATATAATTGGCCCATTCGATATCACGTGGTACAAACAACAGGGTTTTCAACTGATAATTTTGTCTGGTAGTTGCTATATAAGAAACAAAACATTATGCAGTCGAATTAACACCTCGTCAAGCTGACAGATTGAATTCAGTTGTGGTAATCCGACGATTTTTATTCGAAATGAGTAGATTCGGAGTTCATTCCCTGAAAACCATTGATGAAAAAGTAAAGGGGAATATTCCTGTCAATACGGAGAAAACGAAGAAGACAATTTGGAATCAATTTACCAGTTTTTGTGATGAGAGAAACTACACATTGAGTGCTGACACACACATTGAATGTTGTTGTGTTAATTATACAATTTTCGTTTCTCAATTGTGAGTTTCGTCTCATGGTCCAATTATATTGCCCGACATTTGGATTGGAAAAATAATCCCCCGAATACCACACGAGCTTCAAAATTAATCGGGCATTTTCCTCAAGGTTCCCTGCATACAAACCAAGTCGTCAAGTTTTTCAGGAAAAATCACTCGTGCTTCGCACTCGTGATTTTTTAACCTGAAAAACTTGACTCCTTCGTTTGTTTGCAACGAACCTATGAAGCCCTTGTGGTATTACAAGTGATTATTTTTTGAATGATCGTCGAAAAACTAAATTTGAAAAAAAACTCAAATACGTACATACATACATATATACGGACATGATCTAAAAACTGCATGATATTCGAACTCCTAAGACCAAAATTACTCATCCTGGCACAAAAAATGAAAATTTCAGATTTGACGAATACATCAGGGGTTCCATTTGGAAGCAAAAAATCTAACTCAACTTTCACCAAAATTTTCAAGCAGATTGAGAGAATAAAGAATAAAAAATCCTATTTTCATGAATAAAAAAATTCAACTTTCAATTCCCAATAAAGGTGAGAGTAGATTGTGAGACAATTGAGAATCAAAAATCCAACTCCTAATTTTCAAAAAAATTGAGTCGATTGAAAGACAATAGAGAATAAAAAATGCAACTGTCAACTATTACAAAAATCGAGAATAGATTCAGAGATAGTCAAGAATCAAAATTCCAAAATAAAATGTTCAATTCAGAAAAAAGTTGATTGAAATTGAAGAAATCACTAAAAACAACAAATCCAATTGTCTTTTTTAACCCGTCACTAGGCGCGCTATGAGCGATTCCCTCACAACAATTTTCACTCCATAGGAAATATACCCTAAAGCGCAAATCTTTTGCTGAATTTTTTTTTATGCCTCAAGTAACTTTTAGTTAACTCTCGTGGTGATAAAAGTCGTCTATTGATCAGGGTTGAGTAGAAAAATAATATTTTCTTCAGCACGGTCGAAATTTTCCACGTGTTACGGAAAGAAATAGGGTTTTTTACTGAAATAGGGTTTTTTACTGAAATAGGGTTTTTTACTGAATAATTTTCTCTATTCAGCATCCCCTCCCTATCCGCATCCCTCATTTTGTTAACCCATACCATACCATTCATGTAAATTATATGTTGTAGCCCCCGGGCTGATGCTATGTCAAAAAAACCCTTATAGTTGTATGAACTTGTAAATAATTGTTGACTCGTTTGTAAAATTTCTATCCACGTTAATAAATCTCGTTTAATCTTAAAAAAAAAAAAATCCACGTGTTACGGGTATGGGACTCGTGCCGCAGAACGCCGAACAGCACCGCCTATGGCGCTATTTGGCTCTATTAATACGAGAAGCCGATGAGCGATTCCCTTATCGCGCGTCTCAAGAACGGTGGTGGAACCACGCGCCTACTGACAGGTTAAAAAAAGTCGATAGTAAAGAGATCGGTTTGCATAAAATATATTTTTGGCCTCGTCACTCCGACTCTCAACTGACTCTCAATTTTCTCTCAAACACAGGAAATTATGAAAGTTCAACTATCAACTTGGTCCGCTAAGGATATCCCTATAATTTTCTCGAAAACCGGAGAATTTTCCTATAATTTTCTCGAAAACCTAAGAATTTTCTAGAACGTACTCAAACACCTTAAAATTTCCTCGATTTTTTTTTTGAAAATTCGAGATATTGTACAGGGGAGGATAGGGCAATATTTCCACCAGATTTAAATAATGAGTTGAATTTGATCAAATCTACTCTTCCGACTTCATTTGAAGATTATAAAAACCAACACATTCTTATGAAACTGCGTCGTAATAAGAAAAGAACAGGGTAAAATGGACATCTCGATTTCTTCCTCAATTTTTCATGTTTCAACAATTTTAATTTTTCAAATTGAAAAAAAAAAACTTATTTTTGACGTTCATCGTGGTGGGTGGTAAATCAAATTTTTTCTTGCTCATTCATCCTCCTCTCCGCCTATTGTTTTATGATGATTTTCTCTGTGAGTAGAAAAGTAGCCATCTTACAAATTTCGCAAATGAACAAAAGGTCAGATGTGTAGGGCGTGCAATTGATCATTGAAAAAAAATTAATAATTTCAAAGTTATTTCAAGAGTAAAACAGGAAATTCAAAGCTACTTTATATTTCAAACTTCAATGGAAAATTTAAGAGAGTCGAAGTTTGTTTGTTAATATCTTTCCCAACTCTAATTCTTCTTTATACAAAGATACCGACACGATTCTGTTGGAAAATGTCCTTTAAAAATTTTCTTTATTTTGGAATAGGACCACATTTTTCGGATGTCTATTTTACCCCACTCTTGAATAATTTCTAAGTTGTGGACTTTTCCAAGAAGCAATTTTTAAAAATCAATTATTGAAAATGTTTTGAGTGTTCATTTTAGTCCCGTCCATACAGATTTATCAGGTGTCCATAATGCCCAATGAATCAATTTTTAAAATTTGGAATTTTGAAAAAACAAAATTTTCTCGCCAATTTTTGAGTGTCCATTTTATTTCAGTTGTCCATATCACCTCGCCCCCTCTAATTTTTTCAAAAACCGAAGAATTTTCCTAGAATTTTCTCGACAACCTAAGAATTATCTACAACTGTCTCGAAAACCCAAGTTTTTTCTGGAATTTTCTAGAAAACTGAAGAATTTCTTCGAACGTGCTCGGACACCCTACAATTTCCTCGAATTTTGTTTGAAAACTCTAAATATCCTTGTAATTTTTTCGAAAACTGGAGAACTTTTAAGAATTTTCTCAGAAACCGGAGAATTCTCTCGAAAATCGGAAATATTTCTCGAAAACTTCATAGGAAACATGAGAAGATCTACCGGAAAAAATAAACACGAACAGAATAAGAAACAAAAACTGCGGGGCCCCTTCCAAGCCCCACTTTTATATGTCACCCTGGTTTCCTGCCATTCCCGCAGTTACCGACATAGGTATGGTCGAGATAAAGCTTCTTGCTTTGACCGCAAACTGGGGGGGGGCGTAAAATCGCCACTCAGGAAAAAAACCCCTCCATCCGGGCCTTAAAACAAAAATTGTCGAAGTGCTTTGGCAGTGTGAAATATCCTTGAACTAGTTGAAATATTCTCATCAGTGAAAAAAATTATTCGTTATCATTTCTATTAACTGGATGATATTACTGATATGTTACAGTTATTTATATGATTATTGTAAAGTTTTGTAAGTCGATTTATCTCATGTTAATAACACGTCTCCTTAGAATGAGTAATTTCAAAGAGATTTGAAAGGGGTTCTTGGTGAATTCATACCACAAAAAAAAGAAAAAATAAGAATAAGAAAATTTCCCGATAAAGACGACAATTCAGTGGAAGGTAAATACGAACTGTATTTCCACAAAAAAAGTCACAAAACAATTACATCAGAACCAATCCCACATGCCATTATTTTCACATAATATAAAAGTTGAAACGAATGAATTGATTTTGGAATGAATTATCATGGTATAAGTTCATAGGATGAATCATCTTGAGATGAATTAACCGGATATCATTTGAGAAGAAAACTGGAGACTTTTTGGTTGAACAAAATCGCATCAACTGTTCGAAACGTAATGTCTCGATAATCATCTCACAAATTCCTCGTTTATAAAATTATTGGGTAATTGAATTGTCGAATATGATGACTAGACTTATCTCACTCAGTTAAGTTACGAAAATATCTTACACATGAGAAATTCTTTCTCTCGATTTAAAGCTAAAATCCTTCGTTCAAAACTGCATGAATGAGTGGAGAAATCTTATGAGCCTACTTATACTTTCTGTTGATCACCAAATTATCTTTCCATAATTTGTCCTTCAACTTCTCGTTTATGAGATAATTCCATAATCAAAATAAATGTTATATTTAATTGAGTACGTTTTAACAGTTTGTCCTACAATTTATGGATTGCACGACGAAAGGGAACAAACTAAATGCTTGTCTCTGAAATTTTTTTCACACAGAAAATGTTCTATCCGTCAGAATATAATTAATAAATTTTTTAAATTGTGAGGAAAATGAAGCAAGAAAATGAGTCTTACCTTAAGAACACCTTTTAAAATACTTCCACCAGCAACCCCTCCCTTCAGATCATCAACTTCGCAACCAGGCTTGTTAACATCAAAAGATCGAATGACAATTAGTCTCGGCTCAGACGTGAAGTCCCTCATGGGGACTGGAATTTTCGTGGTGATATACTCGCAGAGGACCTCAATGTTGTATTTCAGTTGTGCAGAGATTGGGATCACTGGAGCTCCCTCAGCAACGGTACCTGTTGCGGAATCCCAAAACAACATGGAATGTAATGCACCACTATCTCCCAGCAACTATGAGCATTGTTAACGAAAGTCAAAGAACATTCTTTGATGGGGTTCATAGAATTCTGTGGAAAATTTTTTGTTCGAAGTGATAAACGTTGCCTTAAATTCATTTTGCGAAGAATAATATCCAATATTGACCATGGCTGCCTCGATTTAAAGCATTATGAGAATGCTTATCAGCCAATTTAGAAAAGCAACAGTTCTCAGACTGAGATATTAAGAAGTACGAGAGAAGGTCAAGTCCGACTCAAATTTGGCGGCCAGTTAACCCGTGAAGTTTACACAAGAAAAAAGTGTTTAAATAGTTAACAAAAAAATTCAAAAATGCAATTAGAAGATTTCAAGACAATTTATGTACGCATCAGAAAAAAAGATCAAATCGAGAAATTTCAACAAGTTTTCAGATTTCCACAACAATTCCATGACTTTTCCAGCCTATACGAATGCCCTGACATTTCCAGGTTGTCCACAATTCCAGGCTCACTGGACACCCTACAGCGCCAACTCACCTTGAACAAACTTGAGAATCTGTTCGTACTGCTCTTTAGCCTGTCCTTCCTTCACCAAATCAATTTTATTTTGCAGGATGACGATATGTTTGAGCTTCATGATCTCAATAGCAGCCAAATGCTCCGATGTTTGCGGCTGTGGGCATGATTCATTCCCAGCTAAACAGTATAGAAATACCTACATTAGAAATTCTCCATACGACGCAAGAAGATTCCATCATGAACATGTCACAGGGTTACTGTGACACTTAGTTATTTTTACTAATGAGTTAGCAATATCGTTTCGAATGGAAATTTTACAAATTATTTTCTCATCGTTAATCGTTTCATATTATTATATTCAAATGGATTATATTCCTTTTTTAATCATTCCTGTCAGATTTTCAACTCATTTACAACTACTGCAGAGAATGGCACTGAAAACCTTTTTTTAGGTGGCCGAAGTTTTCTTCCCCGTTGAAAAATTCCAGGAAATTTTTCCTCGTCAATTTTTCCCCGGCGACTTTTTCCCTTGTAAATGTTGTGAGATTATAGGTATTAATGAATGAACGTTGATTTTGTGCTCAATTTCAGCCCAATCGATCCAGCCGTTTTTGAGAAACCGCCATTTGTTTCTAAATCGTTTTTCGCAGATATCTCAAAAAATACTCAACCGATTTCTGTCTATTTTTTCAAAATATTCATCTCGATGTTTTCTATCTCAATCAATCAAAATATGCATACTCGTTCATACAAAGTTTCTGAGATATTTCCATTTTTCGGTTTTCCACTCAAAATCCTTGTTAGCACTCTCATCTTTGCAAAAATCGACATATTAATTTGAAATTTGGCACGAAGTTTCCTCGCTGCACCAGAATGTTTCGTATTAAAACCATAACTAACCCACACCCATACGGAGAAAAAACTGCCAGAAAAATTACTATGCTGTTGAGTTCGATTAATTTGGTGTTTATTTTATGGAATAAAATAAACTCCAAATTCTTCTACCTTATGCAAAATAATATTTTTGTTTAGTTGTGGATTCTTGCCTTTGAAGTGTTTAACACACCTGTCTAGTTGTGAGGGATGAGGGTAATTTTTAGAAGAAATTTAAGAAAAGTTATTATTTAACCAAGATTACATTGGTTTTATTCAAAATTATCCTCGTGATCAAATACACGAGGTGGTTGTATTTTAATGAAAATGCCTTTATCTAATCAACCCCGGTTCGAGGGAGGGAGAGATTCCTACTTTCAGCCAGATAAGGGTGATTATGAAGTACTCACTCTGTTGAAACCACTCTTTTCCAGAGTAAACTTACTGAATTTTGGCCTAATGTTCCAAGTTATGTACAACTGATACACATTTAATTTTACGGAAAGTTAAAAGTTAATTTTTGGCTTACTGTGTGAGAAAACTTTTCACTGAAATTTTGAACAAGTAATTTTGCACCTTGTTAACCGATTTCGCGGAAAAGTTTGATTTCAGTTTATTACGGGAGTTAACCACTACGAAGATATACGTACTTGTGATAAAAAAATATTATCCCGATACTCGGATAATCGAAGTAAACGCCGGGCAGAGAATTTAAACTGATTCCGGATCGGGTACTCGATAATCGCGAGGAGTCCGCCCCTTTGTCTGCTCACTTTCCAAGCTAGGACAAGACGGACTCTTGTTCCGGGTTTATTCAGGTTCATCGTGGTTAACGCCCGGTGATTACCGAAATTGAGTTCTTTTCCGAGGTGGCGTGATGCTGACTTCGCATCATTTCGAAATTCGATGTCAGGCTCATCGCATTCCGTGGATGAAACCGTGTTTGCAACTGCCAAATCGTGAGGTTTTATTCCTTCGATTTGCTAGAGTAATTCTTAATTTTTTTTTTTTAATTGATAATTATTCTCAAACATAACAATGCTAAGACAGTAAAATGGATTATTTTTCACAGACCAGAAAAAATTCCCGTATCAGCACCCGAAATACAATAATCTTTCGGGGTAAATCCGAGAAAAATTCTTGAAGCACAGCAAGAATTTCAGTGCTTGCACGTGAAATCTTCCGGGTCCATCAAAAAGAAGCCATTTGACCATGTTAACACAGTGATTTTTCTGGTATTTCTTTCTCCGTGCATATCAGTTTGAACGTTGGGAAAAAAACTCGCAATATCGAAACTGTTACGATAAAGTGAAAAAATTCAAATAAAAAAGTGAACAAAAAATATAATTAAAGAAAAAGTGCACGGCCATCATGAAGAAAGAACTAAAAATTGGAATAAAGAGTAATTAAAAACAAATAAGAATTTTAAAGTAATTTTGGAAAGTAATTTCGGAGTCTGGGAAGGGAAGACTTTATCTCGTCAGGTTTTCCCCTAACTTAGGTCTTCCTCAAACCTTTAGCAAATGTGAACAGAGGTTGGAAAGAGTTTGAATGGGGGAACAAGAAAGGCATAAAGTGCAAAACTGGGGAGAAATATCCGAGAGTGAAAAAAATTTATTATGTTGAAACCAGTCTATTTTGATAAAAAGATGTTCAGAAATTGTGTACTTCAAGGAAATGATGGATGTTACATTGAATACAGATGAATTGATGCTGTGCTCAAATATGTGTTCGATTAAATATTTTCCAGGGAAATTGTAAATGGGTTTTTTTCTTGGGGACATGGGAATTTTTCTTCAGAAAAATTTTTTGGCGGAAAAAATTTCCAGGGATTTTTTTCCGGCAGATTTTTCACTGGGAAAAAAATCGGGAACCTTTTTCTTATACATATATAATTGAATGAATTTAAAATATAATATTTGAAGAAACCGCCAGGACACAGATTGTAAAAAAATCAGATATAGCTATCATTATCATGCAAGAACTCTGGCAAAGTGGCATTGCAATGAATATCTGAGCTACGAGTGAATCAATTTGAAGCATCATATTCACAGATATTACCGGAAAAGTGATTTAAAAAAATAGCAACTTACGAACGAACATTGCAATGGGTTTCATCTTCTAACTCGAATATAGAACATTCAAGCCATTTTTTGAACGGAAGAGTTCGATGAGTTTTGAACACCACGGGTTATTCAAGTAAGAATCTCCATCCGTTTCTCGTATATTCCATGCATGGAAAAACCGATTGTTAGCGTGAAAAAATTCATTATTTATTACCCATTAGGTGTGTAAAATTCTGGAATGACATAATCGAAACAATGATCCAAGATACCCAATTGTTAAGATAGACAATTTTATTTTCATCCAAAGTTCTTCAAAACATGTGTAGAAAAACTGTTACCAATTAAACTGTTACCCGTGAATTTTGTTCATGTAAAAAACAGACAATACGTTATTTGGGGATCAAATATCGAAAAAATGATTCGTAACTCTTCATATGCACTGTTTTGGAAAAATTTTAGGTAAATAAAGTTGATTATCTCAAAAATTGGGTATACTGGACCGCTTTTTCGACTACCGTATCGTTTTAGGCTTCTACACGCCTAGTGGACAGAAAACAATGATCAATTTTCCACTAATGAACAATTTTCAGATGTATGGAGCCCAGGGGAAACATGGACATCCTAACTTCAATAACCCGCGATGTTCAAACCCTACCGAAATCTTCCCTGATGCCATCAACGAATGGATTTAAAACTTTTTTTTAGTTACCGTCGAACAATCGGTTTTAAAGCGATGCGAAAATTTAAAAAAGCGTTATATAAATTAACACAGCTCGAGCGTAGCTATATGAGAGAATTCGCCAATTCTGTATATAAAAAATGGCCTCAAAATTTTGCAATTTTTTATTACTTTTATCGTAAAGTACACACCAAAAGAAGAAAAATGAACGCAAGCGGAGCTCTCTAACTAAATAATTGGCGGAGTTGTTGAAGATTCGATTTTTTTCTTCTAAAAACTTTTTTCCAATTCTAATTACGAGCCACTAAAACAATAAAAAAATTGAACCCATAGATTTTGTCGAAAATTTTCTGAGCTTTTCGAAAAAAATATGGTTTTTTATGTATCTATGTATTTTGGCATAGAAAATTGAAAAACAAAATTGCGACGGTCATTTGGGGTCGTTCCCTAACTTTTTTGTTTTTTTATTTTCTTCATTGTAAAGTTCAGGAAATGTCCTAACTAACACCTATTTTTAATTTTGGTGATCTGAAGAATTCAGAGGCGAAATGGAGAGAAGAACAAAAATTAGTTTTCCAAAAATATCTCGGAATCTGAAGTAGATAGAGAAATTTCGGTATAAATCTTTTTTATAGAGCAGAATGAAATGTATAAAAAGGTTTCTATGAAATGTTTTCCAGCTACCGTCAGATACCGATTCAGAGATATTCATTGAAAAATTATCTACAGATTCAGTTGCCAATAATTTCTTTTGCAATATCTCAAGATTAAAGCAAAATATCGCTTTTTGGCGAGAGCCTTTCTTGTAGGGAAAAATGAAAACTACCAATAAGATCGTTACAGAAATCTTTCTACCTCCTTTGCATTCCGAGATATTGTTCAAATACTCATTTTCGGATTTGACTAACACATCTTACTTCCTGTCTTCACTTCTGAATTGACTCCCCTGCTACGCTATGACATTCAGGAGATTTAATTTTTACTAATTAATGCTGCATAAATCAAAAATGGTCATGTTCCTGGAATTTATTTATCTTTCAAAATGGGTACATCGTGAGTATTCCATGCAGATTGCAAAAAATTGTTTTTTCGCTCAATTGAATTCGACGAATTTCTTCTTTCACTATACAAAGCATTGCTGGAATGAAGAAATACCATGCAGTCATTCATGTTGGAGACTATGAAATGTAAAGTCTACAGTGCAGATGAAACCTTTCGAGATATGAAATTGATGCTCAAAGGGTAATAAGGATTGAAGTTCCAACAAATTATGAACAATGAAAGAGGAAGTTCATTGAATTCAATTGAGTGATAAAGAAAGTAAAAGTCTCTTGTAATCTTTTATGATGGAACACCAACAATGTATCCAGAAAAATAACCTTCATTTTTATAATTTATTGAGCATTAATTGGTAAAAATTAAATTACCTGAGAATCATAAGCCAGCACAGAACTTAATTCAGAGATGAAGACATGAATTAAGTCCAAAGGTTGTTCAGTGGTAGTTTGTGATTCTTGTGGGACGGGTAAATCATCTTGATATCTAGATTCGGCGGCCAC